CGTTTTTATGAATATTCTTCAATAAATTAACGATAATATATCATCGAACGATTTTCTTTATTTGTTGTAATTACGAATACAAAAACTACATAATAACCATAGATACTTGAAATTGTTAACAAATGTTCATTTAATCATTTTCTGTATAGGTATGATACAATTTAAAAAATACTTTGATACTTTTTGAGTTAATTATCGACATTTTAAATTTTAAATTTTTTTTAGTTTCTTTTCTATAAATGTTTATCAATTTTTTTTGTTTGTTCAATAACCTAGACAATTTAATTCAAGGTCCCCTATAAGTTATCATATAATATAAATTTAAGAATATTAAAGATTCATAGACAATATTTTATTTCACAACATTTAAAGTTCAAATTTTAACAATTACATTTTATATACGAAATTTCATTTTCAAATGCAATTTTTTCTCAAACTACTGAATATTTTATCGACTCATATTTTCAAAGACTGTAATGCTGTGATTGAAACAAAATTAAATGAGATAGAAATATTTTATATAGCTACTATAGAATTAGCGTAAGTTCAAAATCAGGTAGCAGACAAGTAAAATATAATATAATCAGCATTGATTTAATTGATCGAATCAGTTTAGTCAAATTATATTGTTTTTACTCTGTAGTCTATAGAGTGAATGAATATTACAAACAGAACAAAATAAAATGTATGTGCCGAACGTCATCAATTGATTTTTAAACAAATTCCAGTCTTGGGTAGTATTTAAAATGTATCAGTATTCGTAATAATTTTTAAGTATTCAGAAAACTTTTAAAAAACTTTTTCCGAAAGTATTCTGAATGACTATTTAGAATATTTTTTTAAAAGTAGGTATATTATTCCTATAAAAAAAATAATCTTTATGTACAATAATAATTAATTGTTTTCCTTGTTTTTCTGGAAATGTTTACAATATAATGCACATTTTAAATCAAGTATCAACAAATTAAATTATATAAAGAATTATTAAATTACCTATATACCTATGTTGGCGCTAATTTCAAATTTCCCCCTAAGAAAGGTTCCGCTTAGTATTTAAAACCAAAACTTGAAATAGGTACTTTATTCGGAATATTATTTTTCATAATTATTCGAGTATTTATTTCAAAAGTTTTAAAAATATTTTATCCAAGTCTGACTAATACGAAATGTACAATGTACAAACTACAAATAACAAATGTACAATCATTATAATTATAAGACCGGATTTAGCATGAAAAAACATTATCAACATCATACTCATGCACTCATTACTTGATTGATTAAATATCATTTTATACTGTAAAATTATGCATATTTCGAAGTTAGTGCATGGTTTGCATATTTGTGCATATTTTAACAAAAAAGCATCCAATTATACCTAATGGTCCAAAAAGGTGTTCGCAGCAAAAAAAAAAAAAAATGATAATATTAAGTAGGTAGTTAGGTACACGTTTAGGTACATATAAAATATTGTACGATTCAAAGAATTAAATTTGTCGTAGGTACTTCCTAAAATGTCATTTAGTTAATTTGCAATATGTTTATGCAATATATTTAATAATGCTATTAACGATTAACAGTTAAATACAAATTTAACAAATTACATTCTCATACTACATATCTCAATATCTGTGCTATAATATATGCCTCTATATTATTACACATTTTACTTTCTGTGTATAAGAACTTTTATAAAATAATTAAATAACTGACGTTGCAAAATTGAAATTTAATCTTGCATGTTTTGTATTTTTTTTCTTGCCTATTTTGACTTTTTTAGTGCATGTTTGCATGCATATTTTACAATATAAAATACATATAAGTCAGATATTTAATTATAATATTACTAGCTGATCCCGTGCACTTCGTTGCCCCGTTAAATGTATCAATTCTATATGTCTCAAAGTTTGTTCAATTCGTTATTTAATATTGTATGCGGTGTTCAAAATTAATCTTAACTTTTCCGTTGCCCCGAATAAAAATTCTGATTCGCAACAGTAATCTACCTGCGATAGATCGCGTACCCTGTGCTGTTTGTACGTAAGTGTATGATTTAACTCTAAAGTATCAAAGTTATACCAAGTTTATCGTTTTTACTTAATTTCGCCTAAGGTGGGTTATTATAATCATTTTATACAAAATCCTATCCTAACCTAACCGTACTAAAACCTGATGAAAAAAAAACAAATTTAACCCTTAGTAAATTAACCTATCTTCTTCCCAGACGTCTAATCTACCCACAAACATTAATATATATATATATATATATATATATAAATAACTATATAAATACACGGACTATAACTATACAGACTCTGGAACTACTTATTGGATCTTTTTGTATTTATTATATATATATGATATATGTATACCTATTACCTATTGACAAAAAATAATGATACAAATCAACAAACATGCCCGATTAACCAATAACAACCAATATATTATACACTGGTGGATTTTCCTAATATTTTTTTTTTCATATAAACCTTATCCATGAAATACTCTTTTGTTTGAAAAAAAATCAAGAAGATCTGATAAGAAGCTCCAGAGATAAGTAGTACAGAGATTTTTATTTCACATTTTTATAGTTAGATATTACAATTTATATTTAAAAAGTAAAGCAAATAGTTTTTTTTTTTTATTATTTTTATTATTGCAATAGCTTAAAAACCCATGGCAACCATTTATAAACAAAAATTTCCATCGGAAATCTCAAAATTCCCGTTTGAGCACCTCCCGGGGTTGGTCCTCTCCCTTTTTAAATTAGCCTATCTTTTAAGTTGGACCAAATTACACGCGGTGTAAAAAATTTCATCGAAATCGGTTAAGTGGTTTAGGAGTCCATTGAGGACAAACATTGTGACACGAGATTTATATATATTAAGATATTGTAGATAGTTAATGGTAATATTAAATAACTAAATTATGTTTTTATAAAATAAACGAAATCAGTTTTCGCGTCGGAATACCGTCCGCCATATTGTGCTACACTATATGCATCGGCGCCGTCGACGGATAAAATATTGTTATTATTATTATTATTATTATTGTTGTTGTTGTTGTTGTTGTCATAAAAAATATAATATTATAATATTGGACGTGGTCGGTACATATGCACCGCTCTGTGGCATGGTCAGTGTGCGTGGCGGTGGCGGGAGAGCACGAACGAAACGCTGACGAAACGCCGTAGAATACGTACGAACCGGTAACCGCGGTTGTGATGGAACGTGTATGTGGTTCGGCGAAGGCGTGGGTGTTCGCCACCCGATGTACGCGAACGGCGTTCGCGGTGGGGCACGATCGGGTGAGGGCCACCACGTATCGTGTTTCAGGGCGCGCCGATCTCAGCCGTGGATGGGCCGACACCCGCGCAGGCTGTACCGTACGGTTGGCGCCCCCTATAGACGGCCGCCGCCACAAACTCTACAGCCACTCTTTCCGAATACCACTCAAGTATATTACGTAGGTATATACAATATATTATGTTACCCGTTTGGGTATATGTACCAACTTAGTGTCATTAGTTACCGCGGTATCAGCACAATAATTACCACCATGAGTATATATTATAATATACGCCGAATCATTGTCAGCTAATATATTCGGAAATACTGCCGTAATGAGCGTCTTCACTACGTTCCCTAACTGATTTAGGGCACACTATAAAGCCACGTACACACTTGTAATATTTTCGCGTAACGTAGGGTTGCCATAAAAGTTCAAGTACTGACCGGGACATTTACAAAAATAATTTGAACAACCTTTTTTTTTTTTAATATTGAAATTTAGAACACTGTGTAATGAATATATATATATATATATATATATATATATATATATATATATATATAATAAAATAATAATAGTATTGAATTATGAAAGACATTAAATTAGAAGATACATTTGATTAATGAAATATTATTTATTTATTTTTAAATATTTTATTTTTCTGGCTCAAGACGGTAACGTTCTTTTGTCCACTGGGCCATTATCAGTGAAAATATCCTTTCAACATTAGCGTTATGACCAGGAATAGCATATAAGTATTGGCACATCAAAATTAAATTAGGTTTTCTTTCCAATACATCAGTTTTTTGAAAGAAATGTAACCATTTGTCATGCATATTTGACTTTTTTTAATGCGAACTCAATGCATGCATGTTGACTGACGAAGTGACGCCCGATGGTGTATCATATTAGTATTTTTGTATGTTCTATAGTTAATTAACCTTAATGGCATAATAGCACAGTTCAATTATTATCAGTGAAGATAAGATAGGAGTGTCCGACGTGAAATTCATGGTTTTAGACTACAAATATAATTTTTTTAAAAATATAATTTAATATAATTATTGGTACTAATATTATTTACACATAACCGGGACTTTTGTAGGGTCTAGTGGGACGACCGGGACGGAAGTCATGAACTGGTGACATGTCTCGGTGTACCGGGGCGTATGACAACCCTAGCGTAACGTCGTAACGCCGTAAAGCCGTAACATGTTACATGTTACGAGATCATTTTTTGTGTGTAGGTGTTGCGATGTTGCGATGTTGCTATGTTGCTTAGTGTTCCACGACGCTTGGTGGTGTACCTTCAGTCTTCACTTTACCGTGGTTCTCTGCAGTGGTAGTACGTTCTCCAAGTTTTTATTTTTTTATTTTATTTTTGAACAATGTATATTTTGCAAATTAGTGCTGCAGCATATATATATATATATTAATTTATCAATAAAAAAAAAAACAATCAAATCAAAGAAGATGGTTTCAGATACGATTGTACTCAAAGATCTGTATTTTAAAAAAAAAATTAAGTAAAATAAAAATAGCCGAGTTGAATAAAATCCTTATTAATAAAAAATCTATATTCCAAAACAATTTAATTTAATTTTTTTTTTTTTTGTGTCTGTGTACACGATAAGTAGTCGAAATAATGCTTCGATTTTCAACTTCAGTATCTCGTTCGATTGGAAAATGAATATAATTGGTGCATTGGTTCACCGCTGCGACGTAGCTACACGTAGCCAACTTCCACCACAGGCTAAGACCGGGCGACACTGTCGACTCTCCCACCACGCCTCAAGGGCACTAGGCAGGACGGGAAGACAAGTGGCGCGGGACGTGTATGTACCGGCCGCCGGCGATCGACTCTCTATCGCATCGTCACATCGTAACCGCCGAGACGACGCCTCGTCGCTGTTTTTTACATTACTTTTTTTTTTTTCCTGTATACACACCGCACGGTGACACATGACAGGAGGTTGTTATTAAATTGTGTGACAGTCAAAACCATATTATATCAACTACCACGTCATCTCATGTCGTGTACCCTCCATCACTACCGTGCCTCAATCTCGACTGGACGGACCACAGCATCGACAGACCGCGACAAATTCGCTCCCCGGTCTTCCACTTGACAGGCGGGGATACTTTATAGTGGTACGTACCGACCAGCAACCGCCACGGAAAATACAATATGTATCTTGCCTAAAACGAGCAGCCCCCACAGGGAAAAAAATTAATAAACATTGTTCTGCATAATAATCATTATTTGCAGACAACATGAACAACGAACACCTGGCCGAGCAGTTGTGGCGAGACGTCGCCCCAGTAGTGGACATCGCCGTCCAGCTGGGACTTGTGCCAGCCGTCGTGGCGGCTTGCGATCCGTATTCAGCCGCCCATATGGCGATATCCAGGCTTCCAATCCACAACCCGATGCAGAGGCAGTTGCTGAGGGCCATGTATTACCAGTCCCGGGTGTTCATTCCATGGTATGAACAACTAGCCACCCCATACGTCAGACGCGCCCCGTCGCGGTCGACGACCAGGCGGATCAGGCAGCAGACACAACATTCACTGCCGGGGTCGACGAGTGGGCCTAGTGGGCCTAGCCCCGTGATGCCCAGGGAGCCGGAACCGGTAAACGGGCAGTCAAGGGTGCCCCCCAAACCGGTGGTGAGGGTAAGGACGGAGAAACAGGTGGCAAGGATCAAGAGGAAGTTCAAAAAGATGAGGGAGAAAAGGAAAGCCAAGAAGCAACGGCTAGCCAACAAACCTGGACCAACTTCGGACTCAGAGGCTGCCAACCAGTCATAATATACTCTAAAACAAATAATATTTCTAATAATAATAAACGTTTTTTACTTATATGCGTGTGACAATAAATTTAACTATTGAAACATAATCATCGCCAAAATTATTTTTATTTACATACTATCGTTATCACTGAATATTTTTGCTATAATATTATCTACAGGTTTGGTCAAACAATTTTATTTTGATTTTGACATAGAAATATATACAGTAAATAACTAATTTAAATCAATGAATAATAATTCGTCAATAACCATTTTATTTGTATCGCTATTCGCCAACCGATTACCTGCCGCAGATAATGCAACAATTATCAGTAAGTTTGTTTAATTTCGTTCATACAGCAGAATATGATAATACTAAAATTACAAGGTTCACTTGAAACCTTAAAACTATAATTATTATTCTATAACGTAATAGTATAATAATATGTTTAGTAGAAAAATCATAATTATAGGTATATAAAGGTTACCTACGTCCGTCAGCAATTTACTTGTAAGTACTTATTTCAACATACATAATATAGGTACGCACAGTGTTGCATAAGGTTAATTTTTTAATATCTGGATAAACATAAAACATAATTGCTAGAATAGTTATCTATAGCTGAAGATAAGAGATACATAATAATTTAACTATCTAGTTAAAGATGAAATATAAACATTTATTATCTGGATAAAAAAAACGTAATTTCTTTTTAGTAGGTACCTATTTGTTATTTATCACAAAACTAAAGTGCATAAAGTATATTAGATAATATTTTGTAACACACCTAAATGTCATAACAGTTGTGATTTATATAACTTTTTAAGTCAAATAATTGTTATAGCTAAAAAAAATGTTTAAATTAAGTTAACCCGGGTAGAAATATTGGTTTTCAGTTAGTTTCATTAGGTTTATTTATTGGTCCTGGACTGGTGCAACACACTAGTTTGTGTATTTACATACATATTTAAATAATTTATATAAATAGCCAGTATTTAAAATTTCGGTAGCAATATTTATAATTAATAAGTAATAAAAAAAAAAATAAAAAAAAAAAAGTAACAAAAAAATATACATATATAAATTACTGTAAATTTTAAGAAACCAAATTAGAAACTCGAAGTCGCGAATGCTCCAACACTAGTTAAATATATTTCCACAAGGTTAACAGGTAGAGCATTAGAAATGATTAAATATAAAAATGTGTCGAGGTGGGCATTTAAAAAAGCTATTTAACGGATGCATTAGAGGTATCAGTTACAGCATCAAATTTACAAATACAATTAAATTATATTAAGAAGCATAGTAGTAAAAATGAAAACGAATATTATCAAAGAATAGGGAAATCATAATATTACACGTTATGTCACTATGTACCGTTATCGCGATTAATAAAATAGATACGGAAATAAAAATATTACGTGAAATATTAAATAAGCAAACGTTAGCAAGAGGATTAATAGAACCATTAAAAACCATAGTAAAAATGCAAATTTCAGAAACTCTTGAAGTAGTCAAACAATTAAAAGTACCTAGTTGAACATAATTCAGAAATAAAAAATTCTAGTAGGTATAGGAATGAATATTTAAATAACAGTAGTAGTAATAATTTAAAGCGATCCAGCAGTAAAACAAGATTAAATAGTTACAATAATGACGAAGTCTATATTCCAAAAATTAAAAGATATCATTTCGACCTACCATATAATTATTATGATAATGTCGATAAACCGCCAGAATATTAAATTGAATAAAAAAAAGATAAGCCGAAAAATTATGTAGGTAATAATAAATAATAAATAAATATATAATAGTTTAAAATTTAGAAGTAAGAATTTAAAAACGGAATAAAAAAAAAATAATAATAAATCATTAGTAGATAGGTATGGCAAAAAATAAAGTATTTGTCCAGAACAAAGGACGTAGGAAACTAAATAAAAAAGCGATCATGCACGGGTAGTATCTATATTCGAAAACATGTAGAAAAATAAAAATTAGACTTGTGATCTAAAATTGTTGTACAAAAAATAATAAATAATAAATAATAAGTGATGAAAACAAAAACCGCGTAATAATGCGATACTCACCGTTAATAAACATACTCAAAACAAATTGAAAGTTTAAAAATAGACAAATACCCAAAAATATAAATTTAAGAAATATACCATGACCTCATTCAAACCATACGAAAATTAGTAATATCAATAGAATTACACAAAAATATTAAAACAGAATTTCATATAATAGGAGCGCCGTGATATAAAATTCCAAAGGACGGAATACCTGGAAATGAGTTTTTGGCAATTAACAATGTGTTAGTAAACGTACCTAGTGAACAACGAAATTAGTTATCCAAAATATCTTAATGACGTCGCGTCTACCAGCGATAATTAGTATTATAAAGACATTAAATTTACATCAAAATCGGTCGACACATAAAAAAAGAAAATCGTTTTTATGTTTAGAACCAATACTTAATATCCGAATTCCACACAACTTTCACATTAACTACGGACACCATTAATAAGCACTTACATTGTTATGTACCACAAACAGTGAATAAGAGTGAAATAACTATTCTATATCTGAGTTATTCAGTCTAACGATAAATGTTGGTGTACCTAAACAGTTCAGAAAAAAATATGTAAGAGAAATTGTAATACTTAAATGTCAGTTGACATGACTTTCAATTAAAAATAATAGAAACTATATACTTAATATCGGAAATTGCCGAACAATATAAAATTAGGTCAGAAATAAAGTATGAATGGATAAATAAATACAATTTAAGAAACAGTACATTATTAATAAGTGATAGGCGAGATACCATATTAAGAACAAGAAACCAATATATTATAATATTTTGTAGTCATGAAAAATAAAAACCAGCAGAGGTCTACGTACAGGAGCATAATATATATATAACGCCAGTAAAAATTAAAACAACTCTATGAACGGAATTATTAAAATAATTATCAATGAATTAATTAGGTAGACACAACGAGATAAAATAAAAATATTAAGGTCAATGATAAAAAAGGTGCTCTGCTGTACAGTAAGTTACAAGTGGGTCACAGTATAATGGATTATATTAAGTTTGAATTCAATGATATAATATCATTGTATAAGAAAAACGATTCTGAGCGGAGAAGGTATGTCAGTCTAGGTATAAGGCATATTATATATGTTAAGGTGTAAAAATAAAAATATTAAGGTCAATGATAAAAAAGGTGCTCTGCTGTACAGTAAGTTACAAGTGGGTCACAGTATAATGGATTATATTAAGTTTGAATTCAATGATATAATATCATTGTATAAGAAAAACGATTCTGAGCGGAGAAGGTATGTCAGTCTAGGTATAAGGCATATTATATATGTTAAGGTATATGACCGCATGGCAGTAAATGTTGACAGTCACCGGTGTATGTCGACATTCACTAATCATTTTGGTGAATGTTATCAATTATTTCAAATATCTCACAATGCGGACATTTACCAGTATTTGTTGACATGCACAATAGTTATTTAGTGAATGTTGACATGTGTGACAACGACAACATAATATATAATCAAATAGATAGCTAATAAATTCATAAATAAATATAGTTGAACAAATTAATTTTTTAATATTTAAGTTTAGGTAGTATAAGTTTATGCTTTATAAAGTTTTATTTATTACACATAAACAAACTTAAAAATAACATAACAACTTCATATGTTATATTTTTGAATTTGTTCTGCAATTCGTTCATCATTCTGGTTCGCCCTCCATGACCAATTTTTATATGAGCTTCGTACATACTACATAATGTCGTATAGACGTATAGTTCTTCGTTCTCTACATACTAAATAATTTTAGTTTCACCTGCTTTTAATGGGACGATTAGTTTATGATTATCCATAATATCCATAACGTCAAATAGATTTAATCGTCTGTAATCACTTCGTTGTTCATTTTTTTTTGCTTTAGCATTTATAACTTCACTTATATATTTATTATATTTTTCAGTGCTTAAATAAAAACAATTATCTTCCCTTTTTTTAATAAAAGTGCACTAAACTTTTCATAAAAAATATCTTTTATACTTTTATCCATTATTAGTTTTAATTCGAATATAATATTAATAAAATATTACACTAAGGCCCGTTGTATTACACTAAACTGTTGCGG